TCTTATATTTGATAAAGGAGCTAAAAGCATGCAATGGAGGGAGGATAGCATCTTCAACAAATGGTGCTGGGAAAACTGGAAATCCATATGCAACAAAATGAAACTGAATCCCCTCCTCTCGCCATGCACAAAAGTTAACTCAAAGTGGATCAAGGAGCTAGATATCAAATCAGAGACTCTGCGTCTGATAGAAGAAAAAGTTGGCTCTGATCTACATATTGTAGGGTCGGGCTCCAAATTCCTTAATAGGACACCCATAGCACAAAAGTTGATAACAAAAATCAACAAATGGGACTTACTTAAACTGAAAAGTTTTCTCTCAGCAAGAGAAACAATAAAAGAGGTAAATAGGGAGCCTACATCATGGGAACAAATTTTTACTCCTCACACTTCAGATAGAGCCCTAATATCCAGAGTATACAAAGAACTCAAAAAATTAAACAATAAGAAAACAAATAACCCAATCAACAAATGGGCCAAAGACCTGAACAGACACTTCTCAGAGGAGGACATACAATCAATCAACAAGTACATGAAAAAATGCTCACCATCTCTAGCAGTCAGAGAAATGCAAATCAAAACCACCCTAAGATACCATCTCACTCCAGTAAGATTGGCAGCCATTATGAAGTCAAACAACAACAAGTGCTGGAGAGGATGTGGGGAAAAGGGTACTCTTGTACATTGCTGGTGGGACTGCAAACTGGTGCGGCCAATCTGGAAAACAGTATGGAGACTCCTGGGAAAGCTGGGAATGGAACCACCATTTGACCCAGCTATTGCCCTTCTTGGACTTTTCCCTGAAGACCTTAAAAGAGCGTACTACAGGGATACTGCTACATCGATGTTCATAGCAGCACAATTCACAATTGCTAGACTGTGGAACCAACCCAGATGCCCTTCAATAGATGAATGGATAAAAAAAATGTGGCATTTATACACCATGGAGTATTACGCAGCACTAAAAAATGACAAAATCATAGAATTTGCAGGGAAATGGATGGCACTATAGCAGATTATGCTTAGTGAAGCTAGCCAATCCCTAAAAAACAAATACCAAATGTCTTCTTTGATATAATGAGAGCAACTAAGAACAGAGCAGGGAGGAAGAGCAGGAAGAAAAGATTAACATTAAACAGATACATGAGGTGGGATGGAAAGGGAGAGAAAAGGGAAATTGCATGGTAATGGAGGGAGACCCTCATTGTTATACAAAATTACATATAAGAGGTTGTGAGGGGAATGGGAAAATAAACAAGGAGAGATATGAATTACAGTGGATGGGGTAGAGAGAGAAGATGGGAGGGGAGGGAGGGGGGATGGTAGAGGATAGGAAAGGTAGCAGAATACAACAGTTACTAATAGGGCATTATGTAAAATGTGGATGTGTAACCGATGTGATTCTGCAATCTGTATTTGGGGTAAAATTGGGAGTTCATAACCAACTTGAATCTAATGTATGAAATATGATATGTCAAGAGCTTTATAATGTTTTGAACAACCAATAAAAAAAATTAAAAAAAAAAAGAAGAAGTGAGGTCTATTTCTCCACCACTTGAGTCTGAGCTGCTTTTAAATCTTTCTTTGGCCAATAGAATGTGCAAAAGAAACTGTGATTGTTCCAAATTAAAACTTCAATATGACTTCATTCCACACGCAGCCCTGGAAGTCTACAAGGGGCAATGTGAACAAACCCAGCCTAGATTGATGAATGATGCCAGAAATGTGGTGAAACTGTCCCTGTCATTCCTTGACATCCTCTTTCTCAGAAGCCAATTTGCCTGTGACTGGTATCTGACATCATATGCATGAGTGAGTTCAGCTAGGAAGAGGAACCTTTCAGCTGAGACCAGTCTAAGTTGCCAAACCTCAGAAGTGGAAGGTAAATATATCGTTTTAGACTATAAATTTTAGATTGGTTTATTAAGCAGCAAAAGACTCTTTGTAAAATAATCTTTAGGAAAAAAAATCCAAATTCTTTCTAATAGTACACTACACTCTTGGTAATCTGAGCCCTGCTCATGTCTGCCAACTTCCTTTCAAATTTCTTCATTTAGCTCTTTAGGTTTCAGTCATATACACTTACATTTCCCCAAAATTATTCCCTGATGTCACATGATGCCATTCTTGGTACACATAGCTCTAGATGTCGCCTCCTGAGGAAGTCTATCCAGACTCCCATGCTCACTTCTTCCCTGCACAACACTTCCTGTTGTAATATTGTAAGCACTGGTCTACTTGACTATTCTCTTAATCTCGTAAGACCAGGGCTTTGTGGCTGGCTTTTTCTGTGTCTCTAACACAGTGCCTGACAAATTGCCATTGCTACTTATTGAATGGCCAAATAATGAGTAAAATATCTATACAAAAATATACTAAGCTTTATGGCTTCTAAATTTTTGATAAATTCTAAAAATATGGACATGCAGTAACCCAACTATTTCCTAAATTGGCTTTTAGATCTCACACAGTCTTGTGCAGGACAAAAAATAATTACAAAGAAATTCATTGAAGAATTCTTCTCAGAATATTTCTTCCCATCTCCTTGTCCACCTGATGACCCCAAAATGTGTTTGTACTCTCAAAGAGGGCTGGCCTTATAAATTTTACTAAGGAAGTATAGATTTTTCCTCACACAGAGTGTAATATAAAGATGATGTTCCCCATAGATTTCACTCAATAACATCAACACATACATACACATACACTTTTCAAATTTTCTAATAAGAACGGATTTCATTATTTTTGCAGAAGAGTAACTAAATTCAATTAAAGAGCAAAATTCCCAATGGATTCTTGTGAATCATATCTCCTCAGGAAAAAAAAATTTAAATGTGTGGTTAAACTCATTGTGAAATGTCAATTTCGAATGGGCATCTTCTCTTCACATAAAGCAGATATTGTTCATTGTTTATTGTTCATAACATACTTATCAATAAAAGCAACAGATAATAAGACTGTCTTTAGCAGGAAAACTATCAGTGATGAGAAAAGAAGCAACTTTGGAACATGTGGATTACTTTTGTGAGCTGAAGAAAAAATCAAATTAATTTCATCAGTAAAAAATTGTCATTATTTCCTCTTCTCCCTTCTCTTATTCTCCCTTTTCTTCCATGACACACAATGACTAATAGCATTATTAGTATAATGACAGTTGAAATAATATAGTAATAGGAACAGAAAAAATAATGATGCTCATTATAGAAATTTTGAAAAATACATAAAAACACAAATCCCAACCATTGAGAATAACATTGTTAATATTTTGCTATATATACTTTCAGCAATTTTTTTCTCACCAGTTCTTGCCATCATGCCAAAAAGATAACAGATATGTTGCTCAGAATAACAGACATGAGTTTATTAGAAAAGATAGGGAAAAGGAAATGGGGACCACTCTCAAGGGAGAGTGATTTCTGTCAGAGAGAAGGGCCATCCTTTCAGTGATTTTTGAAGAGTATATACATATATGCACATTGTCTTTATTTTCTTTTTTATTATGCCTTTTTTTTCTTTTATGTGGTGCTAAGGATCAAACCCAGTGCCTCACACATGCTAGGCAAGTGCCCTGCCACTGAGCCACAGCCTCAGCCCCCCTATTTTCTTTTGTAACATTCTTTATTATGGTTTCATATTATTCCATTATATGTTTAAATATTTTTTTCAATTGCAACTTAAAATATGTGACAGCTGGTAAATCTTTATAATCCTAGTTCACATTTTTAGGATAAAGTAAGTCTTTTCAGTAAGCCATCTCACAGTTGGAAACCATTTTCTGGGCTGGGGAGATAGTTTAGTGGTAGAGTGGGTTTGCCTAGGATGTGCAAAGCCCTGAGTTCAGTCACTGCCAAGGGAGGGAGTGATCCATGGGGACACCTTCCATCAAGATAAAATCAATGAAACAATTTTCTTCATATTAGGATATATTGTCAATTTCAAGGCAAAAAAAGAAAAACTTCAGATTTCTGCTTTGGAAAAAATATTTTACATATTATATGATTTTTTATATATGTGTAAGAATACACAATAACATGCAAAGTATGGTTTTCTATAAATAGAAAGTATCATAAATAACACAGTATCATGAATCTTTTATTTCCCACTTTATGACCCCTTAATGCCTGTCTACAGAACTGCTGGGTTTCCCGAATACATCCACTCTAGAGAACCAGCAAATAGCATCACCTGCTTATAAACATTCCCTTCCTCCTAAACTTGACCATTAACTTTGACCACTGGAAAATGATTTTTTAAATATTTTTAAATGATTTTTTAAATATTTTTTAGTTATAGATGGACATAATATATTTATTTTTATTTGTTTATTTTTATATGGTGCTGGGGACCAAACCCAGGGCTTCATGCATGCAAGGCAAGCGCTCTACCACTGAGCTACAACCCCCAGCCCCTGGAAAATGATTTTTTTTAATTCTAATTTGTTATATATGACAGGAGAAGGTATTAAAATTCATATTACACATATAGAGCACAATTTTTCATATCTCTGGTTGTATATAAAGTATATTCACACAATTCGTGTCTTCATACATGTACTTAGGGTAATGATATCCACCTCATTCCACCATCATTTTTACCCTCATTCCCTCTCCTTTTCCCTCCCACCTCTTTGTGAAAATTGAAACTGCAGGAGAATTTGAGTTTGTGACTGAGGACTTTGGTTTATTTTTGAGTCTCATTTCCATATGAGTATTTTCCAAAGCCATATTCAGAAGAGACCTTCTGCTTTCTTCAGAAAATCAGAGTCATCCCTTCCTCAAAGCATCTTATACATGATGGAGGCAAGCCTGGGCAATTTAGCAAGACCCTGTCTCAAGATAAAATAAAAATGACTGGGGATGTAGCTCAGTAGCAGAGCACCCTTGGGTTCAATCCCCTGTACCAAAAAGTAAAATAAAATCTTATACATGAGTTGCCAGAATGGTGGTCAAATGTCCTATCACTCAACTAGATGAGAGCAGAAGCAATAAATAAGCACTTACCACTGAGAGGTATCATGCAAGAATTAAAAAACATATGAAGCCACTTGGTCCACAGAAGTGCAATCCCCAAGACCAGCACAGTGTGAGTAATAGCCTTTAAACATACTGAACATAACTAAAAATATATATATAAGAAAAGCAGGAACTCAAGTGGTGAGGGAAAGAAATAGGAAGGAAAGGAAAAGAGGAACCAAGCAAGTTGTTCTTTTCTAAAAACTGTGTTCTCTAGATATGCCAACCCAAGTAAAATTTGTGTGCTTCCACATGCAAGCATAACTTCTTTTTTTAAAATTGCATTTATTTTTTAAATACATGACAGTGGAATGCATCACAATTCTTATTACACAGATAGAACACAATTTTTCATATATCTGTTTGTATATAAAGTATGTTCACACCAATTCATGGTCTTCATACATGTACTTTGGATAATGATGTCCATCACATTCCACCATCATTGCTAATCCCCTGCCCCCACCCTTACCCTCCCACCCCTCTGCCCTATCTTTAGTTCCAATGAACCTGAGCAAACACTTGTTCATGCTGCATTCATTCCTCATTTCTGGCTAATCAGGCAGCTTCTTGGTATCACATTCTAATAATACTTGCACCAAGCTCAGGTGACAGCCTCCCCACATTCAAGAATCAGCTTCCTTTAGCATGGTGGGAAAGGCAAAGTTCAAAACTTACTGATTTTGAAGAGATTCCTCTGTGATCTCTGTTATCCTCTGCTGTTCATAATTAGCTCCATCACGAATCTCTGTTCATTTTGTTACTGGTCACCTCCCGAACTCCTGAAGGCAGCTCTCTTTATTAGGTGATAGAGGAGAAGCCATCTTTTATTCCACACTTCTCTCTCCCTTTACTCCCCACGTCATCTCAACAAACAGCTCTAGAAGGTACACACAACTATTTTGAACAGTTGAAATGATTAAATAGAATTATATGTAAAGAGAATAAACTTAAACTGAATGCCAAATATTATTTTTTCCAAAGGCCTAGAGGAAAACACTCCAAAAATTAAATCTTTCGTATAGGACCTTTCAACAGAACTGATCTCAACTTGTGCCCACATTCTGTGCCCTCAGCTCTCTCCAAATTATTTGCCTTCTTTTAACATCCATCACCTGACCCTTCCTTGTCCTAAATAACTCACACATATACATAAGCATGAATGCACACACACATATACACACATTAACCTCTATATTTCCATTGCATTTCTATATTTATGTCTATCAAAATGTACTGAAAATCATGAGGTTACAATAATACCTCTAAATCTAATCCAATGCCATAGGTTTTTATTTTGGTTTCTATATTTCTTATTTTGTGACAGTTAGAAAACTAAGTTCATTTTCTTTAACTTATTCACATATTTAGTTAACCTTCTGGATGTTACCAATCTCCCATCTTTGGTGCCAGCTATCCCCCACTAAAACATCCTTTTCTCACTCTCCAGCTTTTCTTCCACAGTCTAAGCCACTGTCCCCAGAACTGATGCCATGTGTATAATGCTTGTATATTCTCACATCTTACCAGTCAATGCCTCCCTCACTGAGAACATTCTCCTCACCTTGCTGAGGTTCTGAAATCCTGTGTTGAGCTGGCCCTTCATAGAAAAACCCTCTTTGCTCTGCTCCTTGAAGCTCTTAGCAATGCACACAAGGTTACCTCCATATGTAGAAGCCCTCCTTGCCATGTAAGGCTCTGACTCCCCCACACTGGGCTATGCCATCACATGGACAACCTCCTCATCTTGTTCAGACTCTGAAATCCACACCAGGTCTACCTTCTGCCTAGACATTTGCCTCATCCTGCTTGGGATTTGACACCCAATATCATGTCCTACACCCTCAACAAAAATGCCTTCCTTACCTTGCTTAGGCAGTGAGTTCCCACACTGATCTCTCCACTACATAGATACCCTCCTTATCTGGCCTGGTCTTTGAAACCCCATCAGATCTACCCTCTGCAAGGATATACTCCTTAGCCCTCTTAGACTCTGAATCTCAACCCACATTGGAGCCAATACTATGCATGCATACCCCCTCACCTCTCCCCGAGGCCAATATCCCACACCAGGTTGCCCCTCCACCTCATGCATGCATGCTCTCCTCACACTGCTTGAACTCGGATTCCCAAACTGAAAATTAAAATATGCAACAGCAGATAAATCTTTATAATCCTACTTCCCGTTTTTAGGATAAAGTTAAGTCTTTTCATTTGCCATCTCATGGATGGAAACCATTTTGGGGGCTGGGGGTATAGTTTAGTGGTAGAGTGTTTTTGCAGTGAGCTTGTTCTCTCTCAGACTCTTATCATCCCACACTGGATTTCCCCTATTTTGGACACTTCCTCAATCCTTTATCTGTGCTACTCTACACTTGGCCAATATCGTGTGTGAACACTCTCCTTGCCATGTTCAGACTCTGATTCTCTATGCTACATGACATTCCCATACCAACGGTGATATTTTCCTTACACTGCTTAGACTCTGATATTATTGTTAAGTAAACCCCCTGCATAGCCACCCTTTGCTGATAGTAGGCCCGCCCTGGCCCCTGCGGACTCAACCCCCAGTTCTTTGTTATGCATGTCAATGTGGCCAGCTCACAAGGCCATGACGCGGGCTTGGGCTTGCGGTTCCCTATTTATCTGCCTGGAGCATATGTGTCTCTCGGGAACATCTTGACCTGTTTGAGCCTCCTGATAGGGGACGGTGACGTGACGGTAACCCAAGGACGCAGTTATTACTCTCCCCTCCTCACTTTTGAGTAATTTCCCGCAGCTGTTAAAAAGATATATAAGGGGAACAAATTTGGCAATAAAGCGCGCACACGCTCCCTCCTGGATGAAGAACCTTGGTGTCCTGTGTATTTTTAACCCCGCCGTCCCTCGCCGGACTCGGCTCCGTTAGCCGGACGCGGCAACCCTTCTAACACTACATGAGCTCTGACACCCAGTGCCAAACCACCGCTGAACTCCTTTAACAGTGGTCCACTCTGTGCTTTGAATATAGCCCCTGCTGCTCTGCCACTGAAGCTTATTTTTTAAAGGAACGTGTTTCTTTCTCTTTCTCTGTCCCTGCTCCTCCCTAATCTCTCCCATCTCTATATCAGGGGAAACAGGACTAATTTTCTTCCCCATCCTAGGCAAAGTTATCTGTCCTTGAGCACCTACCTACCACAGGAACCAAGTAATTCAGATTTGTGGATGGCACCAGAAGCTTTCAGAAATGATTCACCTAATTTCACAAGTGAATTACAACTTCAGACAGAACACATGGAACATAGCCTTTGAATTATCTCCTTAAACCCCTGCTTCTCCCCCAGATGAGCAGAATCACAGCCTCTGAGACAGGAGTCACCAGTGCTTCCCCTTTGCTAACAAAGCAATAAAATTTCTTTTTCCTTTTTCTCAAAACCATGTCCTCATTATTAGATTGACATCAGGGTCAAGGACCGGGCTTTTGGTAACACTCACCTCACCCTACCACAAACACCTACCTTTCCTGTCCCTTATGAATTATGTAATAAAGAAAAATTATGACAATGAATAAAGGAGTTATAAGTTCTCTGCAATTATTGAACTTAACAAGTAGTTGCCTATGAAGATGTGTGCATGCATACTCTCTCCTCCCAATAATAATTGCTGATTTTCAGAGGCTTTACCATCTAAGCTCCTTAAGCAATATCTATTTCTAAAGTTACCTCTCTCTCCCTAGAATAAGTCATATTATAAATGGATTAAATTGAGTCATAAACAATCAAACTCTGAGTGGTTGTTTTAGTCAGCATTTTTGTTGCTGCGACCAAAAGTCCTAACAAGAACAATTTTAGAGGAGGAACAGTTATTTGGTATTCATAGTTTCAGAGATCTCAGTCCACAGACAGCCAGCTCCATTGCTAGATGAAGCAGAATATCATGGCAGAAAAGTATGGTGAAGGAAAACAGTTCAGGACATGGCACCAGGTAACAGAGAGCAAAAGAGCAAGAGCTCCTCTTAACAAGGACAAAATATGCCCCCAGTGACCTGTCTCCTCCAGCCACACCCTATCTGCCTATGGTTACCACCCACCTAACCCATTCAACAGGATTAATGCACTGATTAGGTCATTTTTACCTCTAAATTTTCTTGCATTGTCTAACACATGAGTTTTGGGGGACACCTCATACCTAAACCATAACAATAGCTTACAACACTAATAGCTGTTTCTCATTCACGTTACATCTGGCTCAGAGTCTACATAGATAGACTTGACTGTAGCTCTGTTTAGTTTCTCTACAATTGTTTTCTCATTCTGGAACCCAGGATCACAGAGTACAATGAAACTTTCAGTAGAATCCTCAATTTGGATTAAATGTGCATTATATTCATTCTGATGCTATTGGTCAAAAGAGACCACCTGGACTAACCTGCAAATGGGGCAGAAAAATATACTCTACCTACAGGAAGATATGTCAAGGAGATCAAAATTTAATCCTTTCACAGAAGATTATATAAGTTATTGGGTAACAATAATACAATCTATACCCAAACCCTTTAAATTATTTAGCCAATAGATCTCAGGCAGTAATCTTCAAAATGGGGCAAGAGTACCCCAGGTGGTATAAAAGAGGAATCACTGGAACACAAAGATAAGATACTAGAACTTCTATTTACATTTATTTATAATTTTTTTTATTTTATTTTTTTATTGGTTGTTCAAAACATTGCAGAGCTCTTGACATATCATATTTCATACATTAGATTCAAGTGGGTTATGAACTCCCATTTTTACCCCAAATACAGATTTCAGAATCACATCGGTTACACATCCACATTTTTACATAATGCCATATTAGTGACTGTTATATTCTGCTACCTTTCCTATCCTCTACTATCCCCCCTCCCCTCCCCTCCCATCTTCTCTCTCTACCCCATCTACTGTAATTCATTTCTCTCCTTGTTTTTTTTTCCATTCTCTTCACAACCTCTTATATGTAATTTTGTATAACAATGAGGGTCTCCTTCCATTTCCATGCAATTTCCCTTTTCTCTCCCTTTCCCTCCCACCTCATGTCTCTGTTTAATGTTAATCTTTTCCTCCTGCTCTTCCTCCCTGCTCTGTTCTTAGTTGCTCTCATTATATCAAAGAAGACATTTGGCATTTGTTTTTTAGGGATTGGCTAGCTTCACTTAGCATAATCTGCTCTAGTGCCATCCATTTCCCTGCAAATTCCATGATTTTGTCATTTTTTAGTGCTGCGTAATACTCCATGGTGTATAAATGCCACATTTTTTTTTTAACCATTCATCTATTGAAGGGCATCTGGGTTAGTTCCACAGTCTAGCAATTGTGAATTGTGCTGCTATGAACATCGATGTGGCAGTATCTCTGTAGTACACTCTTTTAAGGTCTTCAGAAAATAGTCCGAGAAGGGCAATAGCTGGATCAAATGGTGGTTCCATTCCCAGCTTTCCCAGGAATCTCCATACTGCTTTCCAAATTGGCCTCACCAATTTGCAGTCCCACCAGCAATGTACAAGTGTACCCTTTTCCCCACATCCTCGCCAGCACTTGTTGTTGTTTGACTTCAGAATGGCTGCCAATCTTATTGGAGTGAGATGGTATCTTAGAGTGATTTTGATTTGCATTTATCTGACTGCTAGAGATGGGGAGCATTTTTTCATGTACTTGTTGATTGATTGTATGTCCTCCTCTGAGAAGTGTCTGTTCAGGTCCTTGGCCCATTTGTTGATTGGGTTGTTTGTTCTCTTATTATCTAATTTTTTGAGTTCTTTGTATACTCTGGATATTAGGGCTCTATCTGAAGTGTGAGAAGTAAAGATTTGTTCCCAGGATGTAGGCTCCCTATTCACCTCTCTTATTGTTTCTCTTGCTGAGAAAAAAACTTTTTAGTTTAAGTAAGTCCCATTTGTTGATTCTTGTTATTAACTCTTGTGCTATGGGTGTCCTATTAAGGAATTTGGAGCCTGACCCCACAATATGTAGATCGGAGCCAACTTTTTCTTCTATCAGACGGCGTGTCTCTGATTTGATATCAAGCTCCTTGATCCATTTTGAGTTAACTTTTGTGCATGGCGAGAGGAGGGGATTCAGTTTCATTTTGTTGCATATGGATTTCCAGTTTTCCCAACACCATTTGTTGAAGATGCTATCCTTCCTCCATTGCATGCTTTTAGCCCCTTTATCAAATATAGATAGTTGTAACTTTGTGGATTAGTCTCTGTGTCCTCTATTCTGTACCATTGGTCCACCTGCCTGTTTTGGTACCAGTACCATGCTGTTTTTGTTACTATTGCTCTGTAATATAGTTTGAAATCTGGTATCTCTATACAGCCTGATTCACACTTCCTGCTTAGAGTTGCTTTTGCTATTCTGGGTCTTTTATTTTTCCATATGAATTTCATGATTGCTTTATCTATTTCTACAAGAAATGCCGATGGGATTTTGATTGGCATTGCATTAACCCTATAGAGAACTTTTGGTAATATCGCCATTTTAATGATATTAGTTCTGCCTATCCATGAACAGGGTATATTTTTCCATCTTCTAAGATCTTCTTCTATCTCTCTCTTTAGGGTTCTATAGTTTTCATTGTATAAATCTTTCACCTCTTTTGTTAGGTTGATTCCCAAGTATTTTATTTTTTTGAGGATATTGTGAATGGAGTGTTTTTCCTCATTTCCATTTC